GCCCGCTGCTCCCCTCAGCAGTGTACTTCGTCCATCTGCCTGTTATGCTCCCCACTCTGTCTCTGGTGAAGCCTCTCACCGCCCCTCAGCCTCTGGCCTGTATCTCAGTTCTGTATGTACAAATAAATAAATCTTTTAAAAAAATTAAAAAGAAAAAAACATAATGACTAATAATCCTGATTTATTCATGGACTGTGTTGGATATAAATAAAGTAATCTTGAATTATGTTCTCATTTAGAAAAGCTTTACTGAATATGTTATTAATAGATTTGTTAAAAACTATTTTGATAGCTATAGTTATTCTAAAATTATGAGTGATATTTCAAATGAAAAAAATTGTCTTTTATATATACTATTTGGATCTAACTCAACTGTTGAAATATTTCTCTATAATTTGTTATTATAATCATTTTACCATCTTAACAGTGTGATACATTGTGAAATTTTGTTTCTTGAATATTATAAAATCAGTTACATAATACAATCACATTGAGTACTTGCATATACTCTTATTTTTTGTGGTTTATGATAAAAAGTAAGTCATTTAATATAAGGATTATTGTAAAATAAAGAAATTCAAGAGTAATGTTTATAGTACCTGTCATGTATATTAAACTATACATTTCTATGAAGAGATATTAATTGTTGGTTGGTTGTTGCAGTACAGGAATGATGGAAAATTTGTCAGGTTAGCACTATGTAAGTCGCTGAAGGTATAGTTAGCGTCTCTGTTTTAGGATGAAGGGGGTACCCAGGCCATGGCAGCAGTTTAATCCGAGTCATCTGGAAGAGAAAAGCAGTTCTAACTGCACAGCCCAGGAGCAGATCCTGGGTGAAGTGATTGCTTGTGTGTAAGGAGTTCTGTATTTATAATACAAGTCTTTGTAATTGACAAATGACTTACTATGTATAACAGAGTTATGGTCAAACATAGGACCTTGAGGTTTTTTAATTATTAAAGAAAAGATTAAACCTAGTATAGTCAGTAACCCTCATTCACCAAGGGAAAGAACACTAATTATATGCTTA